CAAGTGATCAAGGTCAACATTCCCAGTAATAAAGAAGACATATGAACATTATGAATCTCATATGATTGACTGAGGACACTTTATTTCGGTGATAATCTTCCAAAAAGCATAACCTCAATCACAAGAAAACATCAGAAAAAAACAAATTTTTTTTTTGACAGTTAAGCTCTGTTACCTGTGCTGGAGTCCAATGGCAAGATCTTGGCTCACTGCAACCTCTGCCTCCCAGGTTCAAGCAATTTTCCTCCCTCAGCTTCCTGAGTAGCTGGGACTATGGGGATGTGCCACCATGCCCCAATAATTTTTTTGTATTTTTAGTAGAGATGGGGTTTCAGCATGTCAGTAAGGCTGGTCTTGAACTCTTGACCTCAAATGATCTACCCACCTTGGTCTCCCAAAGTGCTGGGATTCGAAACGCAAGCCACTGCACGCAGCCAGACAAACCCAAATTGAGGGGTGTTAGACAAAATAATTTTTCAAAAGTGACAAGGGCAGGACAAACAAGGTAACACTGAAGAAGTAGAGAGACTGTAGTAAAGGTAGATGTAACTTAATGTATTTTCTGGGTAGTATTCTGGAACAGAAAAAGGATATTAGTGGGAAAATGAGCAAAATATGAATAAGGTTTCCAGTTTAATGGTATTTTACTATGCTATAATAGGATGTTCTTAAAAAATACTATTTTGGCTGGGCGTGGTGGCTCACACCTGTAATCCCAGCACTTTGGGAGGCTGAGGAGGGTGGATCACCTGAGGTTGGGAGTTCAAGACCAGCCTGACCAGTGTGGTGAAATCTTGTCTATCTTAAAAATATAAAATTAGCCGGGCGTGGTGGCTCAAGCCTGTAATCCCAGCACTTTGGGAGGCCTAGGCGGGTGGATCACGAGGTCCAGAGATCGAGACCATCCTGGTCAACATGGTGAAACCCCGTCTCTACTAAAAATACAAAAATTAGCTGGGCATGGTGGCGCACGCCTGTAGTCCCAGCTACTAGGGAGGCTGAGGCAGGAGAATTGCTTGAACCCAGGAGGCGGAGGTTGCGGTGAGCCGAGATCGTGCCATTGCACTCCAGCCTGGGTAACAAGAGCGAAACCCCGTCTCAAAAAAAAAAAAAAAAAAAAAAAAAATATATATATATATATATATAAAATTAGCTGGGTGTGGTGGTACATGCCTGTAATCCCAGCTACCTGGGAGGCTGAGGCAGAATCGCTTGAACCCAGGAGGCAGAGGTTGTGGTGAGCCAGGATCATGCCATTGCACTCCAGCCTGGGTGACAAGAGTGAACCCCCACCCCCCCAAAAAGTAGCATTTTACTAGATGTTAATTTCTTCGTTCTGGCAATTGTGCCATGGTTATGTAAGATGCTAACACTATGGGAAGCTAGATGAGGTTTATAAGGGAATTGTATTATTTTTGCAACTTTTCAGTAAATCTACAGTTCAAAATTTAAAAAGAATACATATGACTCTCTGTACTTTTTCCACTTCCAGTGTTAACTTATGGCTAATACTGTATGTTCATTCTAGGGCAAAATCTGTATATTGCGTAGTCTATTAATAACAAAATGTGTGTGGAATGAAAACCTATCGTCTAAAGACTCCTTTTGATATGACTGTAGTTAAGTAATATACTCACTATGATTGTGGTTAAGTAATATACTCACTGTATTCGCCAGGGACTCAACTTCCAGAGTCCTGATTTTAGGCAGGACTAAAAACAAAACTTTTGAAAGTTAGTATCCACTTTGCCATTGATTCTGTTTTTTGTTTTTTCTCACTCTGTCACCCAGGCTGGACTGCAGTGGCACAATCACAACTCACTGCAGCCTCAGCCTCCTCAGCTCAAGTGATTCTCTTGCCACAGCCTCCTAAGTAGCTGAGACTATAGGGGCACACCACCATGCCCAAAACATTTTTCAATTTTTTGTAGAGAGGAAGTCTTACTATGTTGCCCAGGCTGGTCTCACATTCCTGGACTCAAGTGATTCTCCCATCTGGGCCTCCCGAAGTGTTGGGATTACAGGCACGAGCCACTGTGACCAGTCTGATTTTTTTTTTTTTTTTCAAGTTATCTTTTTGTAAGTCATCCATTTTCAATATAAGTCTGAGAGCTCATATGATTACTAAGTAATTCACAAAGAGTATCATGTAAGGACTGACATAAAAAAAGTACATTTTTCTCATGAGCCTACAACACTTTCAGATATAGAATTCCTCATTCTCACTCAGATTGATAATCAATAAGTAGGCCAAAGCAAGTAAAAAATAGGGGTTGGTATATATAATTACACTTCATTTTAATAGGCCATTTTCAACTCCTAGTTTAAAAAGAGAAACAAAAAAATAATTAAAACTGTGCCAATCATGTTAACATAAAATGACTGAAATACTATCTGTGCTGGAGAGCTGATACCCCTTTCTTTTTTCTTTTTTAAATTCAGAATCTTTTTTTTTTTTTTTTTTTTTTCATAAATCTTGCGTGGATACTCTAAACAGTTGATTTCAATTATTATTCTGATTCTTTTTTTTTTTTTTTTGAGATGGAGTTTCGCTCTTGTTACCCAGGCTGGAGTGCAATGGCACGATCTCGGCTCACCGCAACCTCTGCCTCCTGGGCTCAGGCAATTCTCCTGCCTCAGCCTTCTGAGTAGCTGGGATTACAGGCACGCACCACCATGCCCAGCTAATTTTTTTGTATTTTTAGTAGAGACGGGGTTTCACCATGTTGACCAGGATGGTCTCGATCTCTTGACCTCATGATCCACCTGCCTCAGCCTCCCAAAGTGCTGGGATTACAGGCTTGAGCCACCGCGTCCGGCCTCTTGATTCTGTCTTTTTTAATGAAATGTGTGACTAGAAGAATTGAGCTCCTGCTCTCTGTCCCTCTCTAGTCGTACTTTTTTTTTTGAGACAGAGTCTTGCTCTTTTGCCCAGACTAGAGCCCAGTGGTGCGATCCTGGCTCACTGCAACCTCTGCCTCTGGGGTTCAAGCGATTCTCCTGCCTCAGCCTACTGAGTAACTGGGATTACAGGTGCCCACCACTGTGCCTGGCTATTTTTTAAAATTTATTTTTAGTAGAGATGGGGTTTCACCACCTTGGCCAGGCTGGTCTTGAACTCCTGACCTCATGATCCACCCGCCTCAGCCTCCCAATGCTGGGATTACAGGTGTGAGCCACGGCATCTGGCCCAGTCATACTTTTAACAGCCGTAATAGTAAAACTTTAAAATTAGAATTCGTTCAAATGCCCTTATATCTCAAACGGAATAAGAATTGGGATTAAATAAAACAGTAAAGAGATAACAGAAGCTTAAGCTTGTGAGCACAAATTGTGAGTTTTATTTAACTGCAAGTGATGCAACCTATGTAACACATTCTTTTCTCATCCATGTTTTTTAACTGCTAACATTACCTTTACAGAGACAAACATCATCAAATGTGCCTGATTGGTAATTTATTAACTTTATCTGTCAAGTGATAATATTCTGTAGGCAGCTTTTGAAATTATGTTTTGAGAATTTATTTACAACCACTGAACACAGATGGTTTTGTAAAACTGACACATAATTACAGGTTCCCTAAACTCACAACATACATATATTTTAATATTTAAATAGCTCATTTTCTTCAAAAGTAATTTTCCATTGCTTTTTCATAAAAATATAAAACATTTATAATTTTTAAAACCTATATTTAACCCAAATCAAAATTTTTCTACAAATGATACCTCTTTCCAAAAAGTTAAAAAGACATCACAGAATACTGAGATGTTAAACCAAAGACTCTCGCCACAATAACAGCATTTTACTTTTAAGAAATATTGTGCAGTATTTCCTTTTTAACCTTTCATGCTAGATTTCAACTATGTATATCCTATGTAAACACACCAGATTAATCCTAGTCATTCATATTTATGCAGTAGACTGTTACATGACTAGTTAGCATATAAACTATAATACCATAATTGCAAAAATAACAAAAGGCAATCTTTATGAAAGCTTAAAAAACTTTTAATAAAAGGCGACCAAGGCTGCCCTAATTTGCCGTAAAAATTACCTCTTCCTCCTACCTTTCCCCTGCTTTGAATGGTACCTTTATTGCATGTTAATACACAAAGACATTTCTAGCACTTCTACTTAAAGTTAGCCTCTTACATGGCTGCTTTCTTTTCTGATACACACTGACTTTATCAGAAGGCACCGAGATTAGACTCCTAAGTAGTTTCAGATTTTTTGTCCCTTTTTAGGTTCCTCTAGAATAATTTTCCTCAGAAAAGGATAACTTGAAAAACTTAAGGAACCAGAAGAAAACGAATGATTTAACACAGCAACTTGAAACTTGTAGCATTCAAAAACTATAAATATAATAGGCTCCTTGAACATATCACTTAGGACAAAATGTCAGAATAACTTTCTGAACATAAATGTAAAAATAGAGCACATTTATTAACAATAGGAAAACTCCTAAGCTTACAGTAACAACATATTAAATCTTATGTAACACATAGCCAAAAGCATTAGAAATTCACTGCCAAATATTCTGATGCACCACCCTCAAAATATGTCTGGTATATACCACTAACATATATAACAAAGTATGGCATTTATTTCACAAAAAGAAAAGATAGTTTCATCACACAAACAGATTTGGAGATTTCAGCTTTGTTTAAGTTCTAGAGATATATTTTAAAGATAAAAAAGAAAAACGGCCGGGCACGGTGGCTCAAGCCTGTAATCCCAGCACTTTGGGAGGCCGAGGCGGGTGGATCACGAGGTCGAGAGATCGAGACCATCCTGGTCAACATGGTGAAACCCCATCTCTATTAAAAATACAAAAAATTAGCTGGGCATGGTGGCACGTGCCTGTAATCCCAGCTACTCGGGAGGCTGAGGCAGGAGAATTGCCTGAACCCAGGAGGCGGAGGTTGCGGTGAGCTGAGATCGCGCCATTGCACTCCAGCCTGGGTAACAAGAGCGAAAACTCTGTCTCAAAAAAAAAAAAAAAAAAAAAGAAAAACAGGATTCACCCTTCAAATAAAAAAGTCTCTTTCTATATATAATTCATTATTAATACTCTATGCTCTTGCAATGTAAAACATTTAGAAACTTTTGAATTCTAAAAATGTTCATCAGTTAACCTATTTGGCCTTAACATATTCTAAATTCCCTTTCGAGAATCACATTGAAGTTTTCAGTCCATTGGTCCAATATAGATGGAACAACTATTTCTTTTTCTTCTTCTTTGGTGGTTCATCCTCAGAACTGCTATCTGTGCTGGTGCTGCTGCTACTAGAAGAGCTGGAATCTGAGTCTGAATCAGAGGAGGAGGAAGAGGTTGTGGAGGAGGCTGAGGATGAGGAACTAGAGGAGCTTTCGTCAGTGTCACTGTCCTCTGAGGAGGATGAGGTAGATGTTTCTTCACTTTCTGATGAAGAATCACTGGCTGAACTGTCACTGCTACTGCTACTTGAACTGGTTACACTCTTAGACCTATTAGACAATACACAGTTAAATATATGGGAAAGTGACATGTAATAGAATGTTAAAAGTAATTTCTTTTTTATTTTCTTTTTGAGACGAAGTCTTGCTCTATCACCCAGGCTGGAGTGCAATCTTGGCTCACTGCAACCTCTGCCTCCCAGGTTCAAGCAATTCTCCTGCCTCAGCCTCCCAAGTACCTGGGATAACACGTGTGTATACCTACGCCCAGCTAATTTTTGTATTTTTAGTAGAGACGGGGTTGCACCATGTTGGCCAGGCTGGTCTTGAACTCCTGAGTGATCCACTTGCCTCGGCCTCCCAAAGTGCTGGGATTCCAGGCGTGAGCCATCATGCCTAGCCAAAGCAATTTTACATGATTCCAATTATATATATATGTATATACTGAAGCTTTGCTAGCATGTTATCCTTTGGTTTGATGTTTTGAGGATTGCTTAACTGTTGTAAACCACACTCCTCTCTTTGTAGGATATTGTTGCTTCAGCAACTTAATTCTCTTGGTTGGAATTCAAGATAAGAGTATCTACTATATTACATTTCAGAGGTGATAATGTTAGAATAAAGCTGCAGTGTAACAACTGGGTCTATGTAAACCTCATATAGCTTGTTACTATTTCATCATCTTTTTTTTTTTTTTTTTTGAGACAGAGTTTCGCTCTTGTTACCCAGGCTGGAGTGCAATGGCGCGATCTCGGCTCACCGCAACCTCCGCCTCCTGGATTCAGGCAATTCTCCTGCCTCAGCCTCCTGAGTAGCTGGGATTACAGGCATGTGCCACCATGCCCAGCTACTTTTTTGTATTTTTAGTAGAGACGGGGTTTCACCACGTTGACCAGGATGGTCTTGATCTCTCGACCTCGTGATCCACCCACCTCGGCCTCCCAAAGTGCTAGGATTACAGGCTTGAGCCACCACGCCCGGCTCATCATCTTTATTTTAACTACTTTGGACCAGATATGGCTGGCCAACAATTTCTTACCAGTCTATTAATATTTCCTATTTTAAGCCAAAGGAAGACAATTATTTATTGTTTCCAGGTATAAGGACTCTACAAAGTTAAGTAAAAGGAGAAACGGAAGCAATACATTCCAGACAGATTAAAAAAAGGAAGTTATCAGAAAATAGGATTATTTAATTATGAATTGCAATAAGAGACTTAGATCCAAATCTTATAGCTATTTTAAAATCACCTTTCCCATCCCTCCAATTAGTATTACATATTATCTGTAAAATACTCCCAAAACCACACATACCTTTTTTTCTTGGTCTTTCTTTCTACAGTGGTTTCTCCAATGCTGATAAACATGAGGGGAGAAAAAAGCTCCTGTTTAATAGAGTGATTATACACAGCTCAGAAAAACCCTTCTGCTATCCCCAAAACCATTTTACATTGGAGAAACATTCTGTGTTTTTATAACATGTAGAGTACAGTAGTTCTTGTTATAAGCAAATGGAAAGTATGCCATTGTAGGCTGTATATGGTACATGCAGTCAACTTAACCAGCATCCAAGACAGATGTATCTTATCACCCGTATAAAAGTCAGGTATGTTAGTAGTTAAGATAATTAAATTGTTTTAGTCTGGAACTTAAGCTGACATAGTTACATCACTACTTACTGAATAACAGAACAAAGCAAATAGTACAATAGCTATAATTTGTAGTTTCAGTTCACAGAATCATATAGTCATTTCATAATTTTTCAAAAGCAGCTCTTCAATTTAAAAAAACCTATTTATTTTTCCACATGCACCCCGACTGTTGAGTTATTTACTCCTTAAAGACCAGAAATTTAATACTTCAAGTCTACGTTCATTCACATTATTCTTTTCTTTTTTTTCTTTTTTTTGAGACGAAGTCTCACTCTATTGCCCAGGCTTGAGTGCAGTGGTGAGATCCTGGCTCACTACAACCTCTGTCTCCTGGGTTCAAGCAATGCTCCTGCCTCAGCCTCCCGAATAACTGGGATTACAGATGCCTATCACTGTGCACAGCGAATTTTTGCATTTTTTAGTAGAGACAGGGTTTCATCATGTTGGCTTGGCTGGTCTTGAACTCTGACCTCAGGTGATCTGTCCCCCTTGGCCTCCCAAAGTGCTGGGATTACAGGCATGAACCACTGCACTTGGCCTCACTCACATTATTTATAAAGAACAAAGTCTGGTAAATTTGAATGAAAGGAACAAATGGCTTGCTGCTGCTATTCTGCCAAACAACATGCATGCTAAATCAGGTTTTTAAATTAAGCATTAGGCCAGATGCGGTAGCTCACACCTGTAATCCCAGCACTTTGGGAGGCTGAGGCGTGCAGATCACTTGAGGTCCAGGAGTTTGAGACCAGCCTGGCCACGGTGAAACCTGGTCTCGCCTAAGAAAACACAAAATTTAGCCAGGTGTGGTGGTAAACACCTGTAGTCCCAGCTACTTGGGAGACTGAGGTGGAAGAATCTATTGAACCTGGGAGGCAGAGGTTGCAGTGAGCCGAGATCGTGCCACTGCACTCCAGCTTGAGACAGAGCAAGACTCTGTCTCAAAACAACAACGACAACAACAAAACCCCCCAGAATTAATTATATCACCACAGTTCTGTAAATTTAACTTTCTTTTTTCTTTTGGAGACAGGGTATCACTGTTACCCAGGTTGGAGTGCAGTGGCACGATCTTGGCTCACTGCAACCTCTGCCTCCCAGGTTCAAGCAATCCTCCCACCTCAGCCTCCTGCGTAGCTGGGACTACAAGTGTTTACCACCACCCCTAGCTAGTTTTTGCATTTTTTTGTACAGACAGGGTTTTACCATGTTGCCCAGGCTGATCTGGAACTCATGAGTTCAAGCAAGCTGCTCAGCCTCCCAAAGTGTGGTATTACAGGTGTGAGCCGCCACACATGGCCAACGTTTTTATATTTTGGCCCTCTCTGTATTTCCTAGATAATGTTTCTGTCGTTATTTCCTGAGTCTCCAAACGTAAATGTGGATTTATGTGAAGTTTTTTACACAATGGAATTACTTACTGAATTGTCATTTTGGGAGTAAAATAAGTGGGGGATCTTTACGTGTGGGACGAAAAAAAAAACAAGAGAGGGAAGTATACTTCGGGTGTGTTGTCTCGTGCCTATAATCCCAGCACTTTGGAAGGCCGAGGTGAGTGGATCACAAGGTCAGGAGATTGAGGACATCCTGGCTAACATGGTGAAACCCCATTGCTACTAAAAATACAAAAAAATTAGCTGGGCTTGGTAGTACGCACCAGTAGTCCCAGCTACTTGAGAGGCTGAGTCAGGAGAATGGCTTGAACCCAGGAGGCAGAGGTTGCAGTGAGCCAAAATCACGCCACTGCACTCCAGCCTGGGCAACAGAGTGAGACCCCATCCCCCCAAAAATAAAAAGTTTAAAAATTCTTCTTTTGAGACAGGGTCTCATTCTGTCACCCAGGCTGGAGTACAGTGGTGCAGTTACAGCTCACTGTAACCTTGACCTCCTGGGTTGAAGCAATCCTCCAAGTCAGTATCCCAAGTAGCTGGGATCACAGACATGATCCCACCATATCCAGCTAACTTTTCTTTTTTTTTTAAGGAACAGAGTATTGCTGTGTTGCTTAGGCTGGTCTGAGACTCCTGGCCTCAAGTGATCCTCCTGTCTTGGCCTCCCAAAGTGCTGGAATTATAGGTGTGAGCCACCGCAGTTGGACAATATTATAAATTTTATTAACTGTTACATTATTGGTAACGTATATCTGTGTGTGTGTGTGTGTGTGTGTGTGTGTGTGTGTGTGTGTGTGTCTCGCTCTATCACCCAGGCTGGAGTGCAGAGGTGTTATCTCAGCTCACTGCAACTTCCGCCTCCCAGGTTCAAGCGATTCTCCTGCCTCACCTCCCAAGTAGCTGGAATTACAGGTGCACACCAACGCACCCAGCTAATTTCTATATGTTTAGTAGGGATGGGTTTTTGCCATGTTGGAAAGGCTGGTCTCGAATTCCTGACATCAAGTGATCCATCCACTTCAGCCTCTCAAAGTACTGGGATTACAGGCATGAGCTACTGTGCCTGGTCCAGAAATGCATTTCCTAATGACAGATATTTTTCTAGTCTATATATCCACAAATAAAAACTCTTCATAGTAGAATGTGACAAGGCTTGACATCAATTAAATTCTTTTTTTTTTGAGACAGAGTCTCACTCTGTCACCTAGGCTGGAGTGCAGTGGCACAATCTCGGCTCACTGCAACCTCTGTTATTGGGTTCAAGTGATTCTTCTGCCTCAGCCTCTCGAGTAGCTGGGACTACAGACATGTGCCATCATGCCTAGCTGATTTTTTTTTTTGTATTATTCATAGAGATGGGGTTTCACCATATTAACCAGGCTGGTCTTGAACTCCTGACCTCGTGATCTGCCCGCCTCAGCCTCCTAGAACGTTGGGATTACAGGCATGAGCTACCACGCCTGGCTAAATTCCTATTTTTAAATTTTATTTTTTCAATAAAGATGGCTCTTTGGGAATTAAATTATTTTTAAGTTTTATAGATTTAACCTGGAGAAATCTTAACCTAAATAGAATCATGGGAATTGAATATCACTGAATTCTCTGCATTCCTTCTATGTTACATTCTATGTTTTGGTGAGCCAAGATTGTACCACTGCACTCCAGCCTGGGCAATGGAGCAAGACTCTGTCTCAGAAAAAAAAAAAAAAAGGAAAAGAAGCAGCGTCTTCATAAGGGTTATGAGTTATATAATAGTGTCTTAAATATTTAGACTTTCAAGGCAGCAGTCTTCCAATTTGTGGACATGAAACTTCTTCAAGAGTTGTGCAGGAGGGCCGGGCGCGGTGGCTCAAGCCTGTAATCCCAGCACTTTGGGAGGCCGAGGTGGGTGGATCACGAAGTCGAGAGATCGAGACCATCCTGGTCAACATGGTGAAACCCCGTCTCTACTAAAAGTGCAAAAAATTAGCTGGGCATGGTGGCACGTGCCTGTAATCCCAGCTACTCAGGAGGCTGAGACAGAAGAATTGCCTGAGCCCAGGAGGCGGAGGTTGCGGTGAGCCGAGATCGCGCCATTGCACTCCAGCCTGGGTAACAAGAGCGAAACTCCGTCTCAAAAAAAAAAAAAAAAAAAAGAGTTGTGCAGGAATAGGTAAATAACCAATTTCTAGATTATCAACATTTATATGCAATTTTTCCTAAAACAAATCTGGATGAGAACTTTCCTACTGGTCTGCTTTTATACTTCCCCTTTTCCAACAAACCTTCTCTAATCTCACAAAAGAAAGGTATTCCTCTCACCCATCTCTAATCATACTTTAGTGTGCTGTCCTCATGTATAAAACCCTAGATGGTTTTTCAAAATAGTGGTGTTGTACTGAGAAAGTAAATGTCCATAATAGTTTTGTTTGTTTTGAGACAGGGTCTCACTAGGTCTCACTGTGTCACCCAGGCTGGAGTGCAGTCTCTGCTCACTGCAACCTTCACCTCCTGGGCTCAAGTGATCCTCCCACCTCAGCCTCCCAAGTAACTGAGACTTCAGGTGCATACCACGATGCCTGGCTTATTTTTTGCATTTTTTGTAGAGATGAGATTTTGCCATGTTACCCAGGCTGGTCTCAAACTTCTGAGCTCACACAATCCACCTGTCTCAGCCTCCCAAAGTGCTGGGATTAGAGGTGTGAGCCACTATGCCCAGCTGGCCATGATTTTTGAGAGTAAATTCTTTTTTTAAGGTTTTTCCCCCCAACAAAATTGGTGGGGGACCTAATTGAATTGTCAATTTAAAAATATTTTTTACTGATATATTATTATACAACTTGTGGAATGTAACATAGAAGGAATGCAGAGAATTCAGTGATATTCAAGCTCACCAAAACCTCCAGCTCCTGGATTCAAGCGATTCTCCTGCCTCAGCCTCCTGAGTAGCTGGGATTATAGGCACACACTACCACACCCTGCTCATTTTTATATTTTTCGTAGAGATGGGGTTTCACCATGTTGGCCAGGCTGATCTTGAACTCCTGGACTTATGTGATCCACCCGACTCGACCTCCCAAAGTGTTGAGATTACAGGTGTGAGCCACCGCACCCAGCCAATTTTTCTTTTTATAAACATAAATCATTGCATATTATATATTCTGTTCTCTATCTTCTTTATACACCTGATATATAAAGCTTTCTATGTCAGCTCATATAATCTATCTCTTAATTCAACTGTCATTTCACTGACAGTTGAGGCAATAGAGCAAAACGATTAAGACAATGAATCCGGGGCACAGGCTGTATGATTTAATGCTTATTTTTTAATTCTTACTAGCTGTGTGACAATGAGTAAGTCATTCAACATCTCCTTGCTTCAGTTTCTTCATATGTAAAAAGATAGTAGGCCGAGCACGGTGGCTCAAGCCTGTAATCCCAGCACTCTGGGAGGCCGAGGCGGGTGGATCACGAGATCAAGAGATCAAGACCATCCTGGTCAACATGGTGAAACCCCGTCTCTACTAAAAATACAAAAAATTAGCTGGGTACGATGGTGCGTGCCTGTAATCCCAGCTACTCACGAGGCTGAGGCAGGAGAATTGCCCGAACCCAGGAGGCGGAGGTTGCGGTGAGCCGAGATCGCGCCATTGCACTCCAGCCTGGGTAACAAAGAGCGAAACTCCGCATCAAAAAAAAAAAAAAAATAGTAATACTACCTACCTTAATAGTGTAAATGTCAGGTTTAAATAAGCTAATACTTATAAAGACCCTAGAACAGTGTTTGGCACATAGCAAGCATCCATTAAACATTAGTAATAATATAATTAAAATCTGGAGAACCACCATGAAACATTTAGTCCTTTAATAAATTCTATAAATATACATTTAAAAATATATTCCTTTGGATAACACATGTAAACCTACCTTTGTTGTAATAATAATCTGTTTTCTTTTTCTTTTAAAGCTTTTTTTAGTTCTGCTGTCCTTGAGGGCCTATGTAAGTATTTTCTTTTTCCTGTGCATTCGTAAGTCCAATGTCCAAATTCCAAGCATTTCTGACATCTTACATGTTGCTTATTTGCCTCGCTACAGAACAAAAAATAGAATACAAGCCTTAAAATTTTGTCTTGGGACTTTTTCCCTATAAACTATAAAAAATATAAAGGAAAAAATAATGTTTACTCTTATGGTCCAATTCATAAAATAAACATTTTACTCTTTATGTTAGATTTAATACAACAAAGTATAATAAGTATAATGATATGGTTGCTGTGACCTCACCCAAATCTCATCTTGAAATCTTGAATTCCCATGTGTTGTGGGAGGGACCTGGCGGAGGTAACTGAATCATAGGGGCAAGACTTTCCTATGCTGTTCTTGTGATAGTGAATAAATCTCACAAGATCTGATGGTTTTAAAAACAGGAGTTTCCTGCACAGTCTTTCTTCTCTTTGCCTGCTGCCATCCATGTAAGACATATGTTATTCATCCGTGCTTCTGCCATGATTGTTAGGCCTCCCTAGCCACATTGAATTGTGAGTCCAGTAAAACCTCTTTATTTTTTAAATTGCCCAGTCTGGGTATGTCTTTATCAGGAGTGTGAAAATGGATTAATACATAAAATAAGTGGTTAAAAGCATAGATCTTGAAGTTAAGATACAGTTGAATTCAAATCATGGCTCCTCAATTAAGTTCCAGTTAATGACATACTAGGTCATTCAGACTACTTTCCAGCTCAGAATTAGAAAAGACTGTCAAAAAAAAAAAAAGAGCCGGGCGCGGTGGCTCAAGCCTGTAATCCCAGCACTTTGGGAGGCCGAGGCGGGTGGATCACAAGGTCAAAAGATTGAGACCATCCTGGTCAACATGGTGAAACCCCGTCTCTACTAAAAATACAATAAAACTAGCTGGGCATGGTGGCGCGTGCCTGTAATCCCAGATACTTAGGAGGCTGAGGCAGGAGAATTGCCTGAGCCCAGGAGGCGGAGGTTGCGGTGAGCCGAGATCGTGCCATTGCACTCCAGCCTGGGTAACAAGAGCGAAACTCCGTCTCAAAAAAAAAAAGAAAAGACTGTCAAAACATTTTTAACAAGCTTCTTTAGGAATAAGAGAATCAACAAGGGGGTAAAGAATAATCAAGCTGACCAGCTGAAGTGACTCACATCTGTAATCCCAGCATTTTGGGAGGCCATGGTGGAAGGACTGCTTGAGACCAGGAATTTGAGAACGGTCAGGTATTTGAGAACAGCCAGGCAGGACAACATAGCAAGAATCTACATCTACAACAAATTTTTTTTTTTTTTTTTTTTTTGAGACGGAGTTTCGCTCTTGTTACCCAGGCTGGAGTGCAATGGCGCGATCTCGGCTCACCGCAACCTCCGCCTCCTGGGTTCAGGCAATTCTCCTGCCTCAGCCTCCTGAGTAGCTGGGATTACAGGCACGTGCCACCATGCCCAGCTAATTTTTTGTATTTTTAGTAGAGACGGGGTTTCACCATGTTGACCAGGATGGTCTCGATCTCTCGACCTCATGATCCACCCGCCTCGGCCTCCCAAAGTGCTGGGATTACAAGCTTGAGCCACTGCGCCCGGCCTTACAACAAATTTTTAAAAATTAGCTAGGGACAGGCATGGTGAGTCATACCTATAATCCCAGCACTTTGGGAGGCCAAGGCAGGCAGATAACTTGAGCTCAGGAGTTTGAGATCAGCCTGGGCAACATGGTGAAACCCTGTCTCTACAAAAAGTACAAAAATTAGCCATGTGTGGTGGCACACACCTTAGTCCCAGCTACCTGGGAGGCTGAGACAGGGGGCTCAAGTGAACCCAGGAATTCGAGGCTGCAGGAAGCTATGATCGTGCCACTGCACTTTAACCTAGGCGACAGAGGGAGATGCTCTCTCTCTGGTTTTTTGAGATGGAGTCTCACTCTGTTGTCTAGGCTGGAGTACAGTGGCACCATCTTGACTCACCACAACCTATGCCTCCCAGGTTCAAGCGATTCTCCCACCTCAGCCTTCTGAGTAGGTGGGACTACAGGTGGGCAATACTACACTTGGCTAATTTTCTTATTTTTTGTAGAAGTGGAGTTTCACCATGTAGGCCAAGCTGGTCTCGAACTCCTGACCTCAAGTGATCTGCCCGCCATGGCCTCCCAAAGTGCTGGGAATACAGGCAAGAGCCACCATGCAAAGATGGCTGGGCGCGGTGGCTCATGCCTGTATTCCCAGCACTTTGGGAGGCCATGGCGGGCAGATCACTTGAGGTCAGGAGTTCGAGACCAGCCTGGCTAACACGGTGAAACCCCGTCTCTACTAATACAAAAATTAGCCAGGCTTGGTGGTACACATTTGTAATCTCAGCTACCAGGAAGCTGAGGTGGGAGAACTGCTTGAACCTAGGAGGCAAAGGCTGCAGTGAGCCAAGATCACGCTATTGCACTCCAGCCTGGGCGACAGAGCAAGACTCTGTCTCAAAAAAATAAAAAAAAGAATAATCAAAAGAAGATATGGGGCCGGGCGTGGTGGCTCAAGCCTGTAATCCCAGCACTTTGGGAGGCCGAGGCGGGTGGATCACGAGGTCAAGAGATCGAGACCATCCTGGTCAACATGGTGAAACCCCGTCTCTACTAAAAATACAAAAAATTAGCTGGACATGGTGGTGCGTGCCTGTAATCACAGCTACTCAGGAGGCTGAGGCAGGAGAATTGCCTGAACCCAGGAGGCGGAGGTTGCGGTGAGCCGAGATCGTGCCATTGCACTCCAGCCTGGGTAACAAGAGCGAAACTCCGTCTCAAAAAAAAAAAAAAAAAAAGAAGATATGGAAGAAGATGGAAATCCAGAGTTAAGTCAACTTTTATGCTGGTTTTGGCCATCGCAGGAGGGTAAGCATCATGTATTACAAGCTAGGGAGACAAACTGTGTCACTGTTAAAAATGAGAGCTATAGCCTAAAAATAAACCCAAGTTTTTACAAACTTCAGCCAACTTCTAGTTACCTAGAAGACTAAGAGAAATCCAATCCCTGAAATTGGGCTGAGACATAGCCAAGGAAGAAAAACAAGTAAACCAATTGAAAAGGAAGAAATAAACCTGTCATTTCTTATTGATAATGCATTAAGTACACTGCAAATCCTAATGAATCTACAAATAAAGTATTTTGAAATAATTAAAATTAAGTGAGTTCAGCAAGGTTTTACATTCGGATCAGCAAAACAAATTTTTTTTTGAGATGGAGTCTTGCTCTGTTGCCTAGGCTGAAGTGCAGTGGCACAATCTCAGCTCACTGCAACCTCTGCCTCCCGGGTTCAAGCAATTCTCCCGCCTCAGCCTCAGCCTTCTGAGTATCGGGGACTACAGGCACACGCTGCCACGCCCAGCTAATTGTATTGTAGTAGAGACGGGGTTTCATTGTGTTGCCCAGGCTGGTCTCGAACTCCTGAGCTCAGGCAATCTACCCGCCTTGGCCTCCCAAACTGCTAAGAATATAGGTGTGAGCCACTGTGCCTGGCCCAAGTCAGCCAATTTTTCTTTAAAGGGCTAGGTAGTAAATATAACAGGCTTTGCAGAACAAGAGGCAAAACTGTAGATACTATATAGATACCCATATAACATAAGAGAAAACAAATTTCCTATTTTGTGGATGCAAATTATAGTATTTGAATATAATCTTATATAATGGAGGGCTACAAGTGAGAAAAATGAAATGCTTCTTTAGGAGTCTTAAGATTTCACCCAACTGCGGTTCACAGTTCATGCTCCCTCCCCATCATCAAATTGATCACATATGTACATATATAAACATCATTCTTAGCTTATGAGCCTCCAAAAACAGGTAGCAGGCAAGATTCAGTGACCATGGTTTGTGGAATCCTATATTAAACTATAGAGGCACCATATAAAAATGAATTGAGTTTCTATAAAACAAAAAGGCTTTGTTTTTTGTTTGTAAAGATGAGGTCTTATTATGTTGCCCAGGCTGGGTTCAAACTCCTGAGCTCAAGTGATCCTTGCACCTTGGCCTCCCAAAGTGCTGGGATTACAGGCATGAATCACTGCACACAACCACAAAAACTGTTTAAAATTAACATTTTAATTTAAAAGAAAATTTTTGTAGAGATGGGATCTCACTAAGTTGCCCATGCTGGTCTTGAACTCCTGGGCTCAAGCAATCTTCCTTCTCTGGCCTCCCAGATTACAGACATGAGTCATTGCATAAAATGAACATTTTAAAAGACAGTATTTATAATGTCCTAAAAACTACCAAATACCTAGAAAACAGAGAAAAGATATGTGAAGCTTTTTTTTTTTTTAATTATTCCTGAGACAGAGTCTTGCTCTGTCACCAGGCTGGAATGTAGCACAATCTCAGCTCACTGCAACCTGAGCCTCCCGGGTTCAAGTGATCCTCTTGCCTCAGCCTCCTGAGGAACTGAGACTACAGGAGCATGCCACCATGCCCAGCTAATTTTTTGTATTTTTAGTAGAGACAGGGTTTCACCATGTTGGTCAAGATGGTCTTGATCTCTTGACTTCGTGATCCACCCGCCTCGGCCTCCCAAAGTGCTGGGATTAAAGGCATGAGCCCCGCGCCTGGTTGGATGTATAAAAAACAAACCTTACTGAGATAAGTTAAATACCTATATAAGTAGCTAAACAAATAAAGGGATATACCATGTTCAGAGACTGGAACTTTCAATATTATAAAAATGTCAATTCTCCCAAAATTCATGTATACATTCAAAGGAATTCCAATAAAAATCCCAATTTTTTTGGGGTGTAGAACTTAACAAACTCATTCTAAAATGTGTACACAGCCAGGCTCAGTGGCTCACTCCTGTAATCCCAGCACTTTGGGAAGCCATGGCAGGTGGATCACTTGAGGTCAGAAGTTCGAGATCAGCCTGGGCAACATAGTGAAAGCCAATCTCCACCAAAAAATTAAAAAAAAAAAAAAAAAATTATCCAGGAGTGGTGGCCTGCACCTGTAGTCCCCAGCTACTTGGGAGGCTGTAGCAGAATAATTGCTTGAACCCAGGAGGCAGAAGTTACAGTGAACCAAGATCATGCCACTGCACTCCAGCCTGAGT